TATCATGAGAAAGTAAGAAATCAAAACTAATTTCTCCACATACATACATAAGCAACTTAGTTCAAACTCATCCAACGGATAAAACATGATCCACTTACACCTTGGGTTCAATTATCACGGTCGTATCACCCTCAAATTCAAGAGAGGAATTATAAAAGATAGACAAACTTACCTTGAGTTGAGATCTCCCAAAGTCTCTCTAGGTTATTCAATCTCTAGCCTTTATTGAAACTCCCTTCTCATTTCTCTCTACTCTTACTATCCTTTTCCAGGAAATATGTTGAACTAAGTCCAAAGCTTAAAGAACACATACATATTTATAAGAGCTATAAGAGCTAATAAGACAAAAGTCAATCGTTTAAACATCCGAAATTGAAATTTCCCAAAAATGCTTAATATTACCTAAAAATTATGCTAATCACATATATAAAATCAATTTCAGATAATTAAGCCCTTAAGGCCTCCAATTTCGATTCAACCCTTCTAATGTAACATATACTTTTCTTGTTGAACAAATAGACATCCTTAATCATATGGTTCACTTACTTAATTTAAAGTTCCCATAGGATTTCACAGTAAGCATTCAAATCATAGAATAGGATCCGAAAATATAACAAAGAACATGCACGAGGGTCGGGTTATTACAAGTTAAGAGTTAAGCTTAAAACAATAAGCAAGTAGGTCTAAGAACTTAAGCAAGAATGGGGGTTTAAAAGCAAGTTTGCTCACCCTTGAAGAACACCTTCAAGAACAAAGCTCCAACAGGTTTTCCAGGCTTAAACCACCTCAAGAACTCTAACACCAACTCCCTAGCACCTCAGCAACCAAGGATGGTGCTCTACTAGGTGCACTAGTGCAAAAGTATGAACAAAATACCCTTTAGAGCACGAACACACACACAAATATATAGAGAGAGAGAGATATATTCTATATCAATTTTCTGAACCTCTAAGAAGGGAGGAGCTCCCTTCTTATAGGAATTCAATTCCAAAGCTTCTTGGAGAAGCTAGAACAAGGTGCAAATCCCTCTATACACGTGTATGGTGTATGGAGGATGTGAATTGTGCATGCCAGCTGTGACAGCTGGCATAAAATATCGGCATAAAGCAGATGAACAGGGCTCGGCCAGAAAACAAGGCCGATCGACCAAACAAAGTGCCGATCGACCAAAAAGAGTGCCGATCGGCCAACACTTTTGGTTGATGGCAAGAAAACAAGGCTGATGGCTTCATGCCTTGGCAGATGGGTTGAGGGGATCGCCAACAAGCCACCGTCTTCCCTCAGAAACAAAACCACAAGTCCTTGGTCCACAACCAAGCACAAAACAGACAAGTTGAGAGATCCTAAGGCAAGGCGCGCAGCCGGGACTTCCGGGAACTCAAAATGAACACGAGCAAGGATGATCATCAAGTGTTCAAACGATGACGTCCAAGTCTTGAGGGCGGTCAAAAATGGGGTGTCTACACAACCAAGCGAGCTTTGTAGCGCTCGAGAGAACCATCAGAATGAGTCTGGACTTTATAGACCCATTTGCAACCAACCAGATTCTTGCCAGCAGGCAAAGGAAAAACTCCCAAGTGTTAGTCTTCTGTAAGGCAAACAACTCATCCTCCATAGCTTGAACCCAATTAGGATCTTTATAAGCCTCCGTATAAGACTGTGATTTTGAAAAAGAATGAATAACAGACAAAAAACTACGATAGGAAGCAAAAATTATGTATTAGACCAACCTAACCTGTTTGGAGGACGATGCTCACAAATGGGATATCGGTGCATAGTAGGATTAGAGCTGTCAAAAATAGAAGGAGCAGTAACAGGAGTAGAGACAATTGGTGGTGGGGGAGCCTGGCGACGAGAATAGACCAACAACGAAGGGAAAGAAGAAGCTGAAAAGGGAGGAGAAGGAGCCATGGATGACGCAGACAGAGAACTAGGAATGGCCTCAGGAGGAACAGTGGAGATGTACTCATCAGATAGGACCCCTGAAGGAAATGGGTCAATGTGAACCAAATCTTCTTTAGAAACGGAAGCAAATGAGAGGGGGAAGTTGAAAGTAAGACAGACGTTTGAGAAAGGCAACATGACGGGAGACATAAAGGCGACGAGAGACAAGGTCATAACAATGGTAGCCTTTCTGAGTAAGATTGTAAGCTGAAAAGACACACAAGACAAACCAGGCACTAAGTTTGGTCCTATCTTTACGGAGAAGGAGGACAAAACAAGTAGACCCAAAGACACGCATGAGGGAATAATTGGGAGGTTGGGAATATAGAGCTTTATAAGGGGATTGACCTGAGAGTAGGGGAGTCGGCATGTGATTAAGAAGGAAAGCAGCGGTAAGAACTGCCTCACCCCAGAATGGTGTCGGAACAAAGACAGAAAAAAGGAGAGATTAAGCTGTCTCAAGGAGGTGACGGTGTTTACACTCAACACGACCATTTTAGGCAAGGGTATCAGTATAGGAGGTTTGGTGAATGGTACCCAATAGAGCCAAATACTCACATAATTCAGTTTTATAGTATTCCCCACCCAAGTTAGACCGAAGTATTTCAATTGTGGCCTTAAATTGTGCAGTGATCATAGACTAAAAGTACGATATATCTGGTAAAAATCAAATTTATGAGCCATAAGATAAACCCAAGTATAGTAGGTACAATCATCAACAAAGGACACATAGTATGCAGAACCCCCTTTAGGAAAAATAAGAGAAGGGCCCCAGACATTAGTATGTACAAGAGAAAAAGAGGAAGCAAAAATAGAAATACTGTTATTAAAAGGTAAAACTATTATTTTAGCAAGTTTATATCCTCGGCACTCATTAATTTGACTAGGAAAAAATTTACCTAGCAATCCTGATTGAGCTAAAAGCCGCAAACAGTCGACAGACAAATGACCTAAGCGAGAATGCCATAAATAAAACTGACTCAGCTGAGAATCTAACTGAAGAGATGAAAGTGCAACGGGGGAGGTAGACAGAGGAAGATGCAGACTTTCCACCACATAGATATCTCCAACTCTACGGCTGGTCCCAATCTGCTTCTTGGACACCCAATCCTGCACACAACAGACAAAAGAAGAAAAGATAATATTAAAACCAAAAGCATCAAGCTGATTGATAGAAAATAAACTAACAGACAATTGAGGAACATAAAGAACAAAGGGAATAGTAACAGTAGGCATGGCAAAGGATAAAACAGACTCAATAGATAGGACAAACATACCAGTCTCATTAGCAGTATTAATAGTAATAGGAAAGGGAGGGGGGATACAGTTTTGGAGTAAGGAAAGGTGAGGAGTCATATGATGAGAGGCACCAGAATTAAAAAGCCGGACAAAGGAAGGAATACCTGAAGAGGACCTAAGAAAACCTGAATAAAGAGAGGTAAGAGCAGAGGTAGATGAAGATGACTGAGAGGTGGACCAGAGATGCTAAAGTTGGGAAATTTGGGCACTCAAGGAAGCCAAGTCAGGATCAGAAGCTGGAGTAGAGGCAGTATAAGCAACAAGAGGGCGAACAGTACTCGGAGCAGGACCTCGAAACTGTGGCTGAGACGACTAAGAAGACTGAGCAGACTGACGGCCCTTCTTGGGATAGTTGTACTTCCAATGTCCCTTCTGATGACAAAAAGCACACTCATCAGAGGCTAGTGGCCCCTTCTTGGGCTTTGTAGTGACATGAAGCTGATGAGAGGGGTTTGACAGCAGAGGAGGTTGAGTAGGAGCCAAGAAGACAGATAGTGATAGAGTCTGACTGGCCGTCTTAAGATGGGTTTCCTCGGAGAAGAGCTCACAAACAATAGCATCTACAGAGGGAAGAGGAGACCGATGAAGGATGCCACCATGGATAGCCTCACATTGGGGGGAAAGAGCCATTAAGAACTGCACTAAACGACACTGTTCTCGAAGCTCAACATAAGTGTCTAGTACCTTGAGGCTAGATGGTTCCATGAGAGCCAATTGATCCTAGAGACGTGTCATCTCAATATAGAAATCCTGAATAGTCTGATCCCGTTGACGAGCACTCTGAATAGCTATTTCGAACTCATACTGCTTGGCAAAGTTGGACTGCTGATAAACACCCTGTAAATAACCCCACACCTTCTTGGCAGTACTGTATTTAGAAAACATCATTCCAATACGATCATCCACAGAATTATGAAACCAGGTCAGAACTTGGGCATTATCATAATCCCAAGTATCACAAGAAGTCAGATATCCTTCCGCCTTTGAGTCCAATGGCTGAGGAACAGAACTAGAAACATATCCCCTTTTTCTGACCAAGAAGAAATTTCTTCACAACACTGGCCCAATAGGCATAATTGTTACCAATGAGTTTGCACTTGATAGCTTGGGTTTTAGTATCCGACATTAAAATGAAACAAGGGTTATAGAATTATAATATTTAGAAGGTGTTGGGTCAAACAATAATAAATCTGAAATAAATTTTGAGTTTATTAACCACAAACCAAACCAAGCTACACAAGCAGAGAGAGAGAGAGATACAGTGGTCGCGACAATGTAATCCGAGATGAGACGAATCAGAGATGAGGCGAGGAGAAGCAAATATGACTGAGGGAGACGACGACGATGCAATGACGAGACTTAGTAGAAAGGGCTGAGGGAGACGACCGTGCTAGGGCTCGCGAATACACAGACTGACGGCTAGGGCTCGCGAGCACACAGACTGACAGCTGAGGCAGATGACGGTGCTAGGGTTTGCGAGCACAGAGACTGATAAGAGACAACTGAGGAAGATGACGACGCTAGGGTTACAAACATGGCTCTGATACTATGTAAGTATTCTAAAAGAATTCGTATATTCAATTGTGTATTGTTTACAAAGAGGTCATCGATTTATATAGCCTAAACCTAGGACTAAAAAAGGAAATACAAAGAAAAAAAAAATACAAAGAATTCTATTTTTACACAATCATGCCATATATACAATATATAATCTCATAGTTGCTCGGTGATTCTCTTGTTTTATTCATCTGTTATAGACCAAAGCTCCTTTGGAAACGATGCATAAGAAGATCTGGCTTATGGACTCAAAGGTAGTGAAAAGTCTAGTGAAGGTTCCTTGCTAAATGATGGATATTTTGTCGATCATGACTCTTCCTATTTTTATTTTGTTTCCATTTTGACCTTTTTTGGCACTTGTGTCTTGCATTAATCATAGTGTGTGATTTCTGTTGCAGGGATTGATCGTTAGTTCTTGTAAGAATTCCCTTCAACACTTCAAGAAACCTTGGGCTCCCGAACATGAACCCGTTAAGGATCTTTTAGATGCTGGCAAGGTTTGATGCATTCCCTCTGTGTCTATATTTTATTATAAGAAGATAGTTCTCAGTGATTGTTGGACTCCATTTCATTTTCAAATGTCATCAGGTTATCAAGTCGACAGTTCTAATTGGTTCATCTGGAGTGGAAAGAACATTCACAAAAGAGGTGATCGAGGCCATGGCCTCCTTCAATGAGGTACTCTCTCTCTCTCTCTCTCTTTCTCTCTCTCTATACAAAATTTCCTCTCAAGACTTAAAATGAATGGCATGCAGAAACCTCTCATTATGGCTCTCTCCAACCCAACCTCGCAATCTAAGTGCACAGCTGAAGAAGCTTACACCTGGAGTCAAGTAAATATAAATTATGTATTTTTTCTTATCCTATAATTTGATGCTTTAATGCAAAGTAATGTCTGATTGGATTTAAATACAAAACTAATAAATTTCTTTGTTCTAAAAAAAGGGACATGCAATTTTTGCTAGTGGAAGTCCATTTGACCCTATGGAATACAACGACAAAGTCTTTGTACCTGGCCAGGTTCTATTACTTTGTACTTCTAGTTTTTTGGTGTTATATCCTTAATACATCTGAGATGGATACTAAAAACTTATTTTGATGGCTTTTTCTTTTTCTTTTTCTTTTTTCTTTTGTGATCCATTCAGGCAAATAATGCATATATTTTCCCTGGATTTAGTTTGGGTTTGGTCATCTCTAGTGCAATTCATGTACATGATGAAATGCTTCTGGAAGCCTATAAGTGCACTACATATAACATAATTAGATATATTATAAGTTGGATACAGTTTACTTGCTTATTGAAGAGAAAGGAATTCTTTCCTTTATTTTATTTCATTTTACTTTGCTTTATTTTTTTTTTCCATTTCCTCTGGTCACATATCTATATAGGGCATAAATAATGAATAAACTCTTAGAAAATTTTTTGAGATGTTTACTCAGATTCCAATAGAATGTAAACTAAATAACACCTTGTGTTTGTTTTATTCCCTTGATGTATGATCTGGTTTTGTAAGGGTGATTTGGCTCAATGGTAAGGCTTGCCATTAGCATCCCTAGTAGCACAGGCTTGAGTCATAGACAGTCTCTGCAAAAATGAAAGAAAAACTATGTATATCTTATCCTCTCTAGATCCCGTTTTAGCATAAGCTTCATACACTAGGTTGCCCATAATCATGTGCAAAGCACGATGGAAAACTTTTGACAAAACCTATTGAATTGAAGTTACTTCTATGCAAATGGGCACGACAAATAGATAGAATGGTTCACCTTTGTATCTAAATCATCTACTTTCCTTTGTAACAAAGGGTTTGATCTATCCACCATTCTCTAATATCAGAAAGATCTCGGCCCACATTTGCTGCTGATGTAGCTGCTAAAGAATATGAACTTGGTGAGTTGGTGAGTTTACCTTTGGAAGTCCATTTGGTTCATCTAGAGTGGGAAGAACATTCACAACAGAGGTGATTGAGGCCATCGCCTCCTTCAATGAGGTACTCTCTCTCTCTCTCTCTCTCTCTCTCTCCAAAATTTTACAATAAGACTCTAAATCAATGGCATGCAGAAACCTCTCATTATGGCTCTTTCTAACCCAACCTCACAATCTGAGTGCACAGCTGAAGAAGCTTACACCTAGAGTCAGGTGAAAATAAATTATGCACTTTTTCTTATCCTATAATTTGATACTTTGATGCAAAGTAATGTCTGATTGGATTTAAATACAAAACTAATAAATTTCTATATTCTAAAAAAAGGGACATGCAATTTTTGCAAGTGGAAGTCCATTTGACCCTGTAGAATACAATGGCAAACTCTATCTACCCGGCCAGGTTCTATTACTTTATTCTTCCAGTTTTTTGGTGTCATATACTTAATACATCTGAGATGGATACTAAAAACTGATTTTGATGGCACCTTTTGTTTTTAGTGATCAATTCAGGCAAATAATGCATATATTTTTCCTGGATTTGGTTTGCGTTTGGTCGTCTCTAGTGCAATTCATGTACACGATGAAATGCTTCTGGCAGCTTATAAGTGCACTACATATTACATAATTAGATACATTATAAGTTGAATACAATTTACTTGCTAATTGAAGAGCAAAGAATTCATTCCTTTATTTTATTTCATTTTACTTATGCTTTATTATTTTTTTCCCTTTCATCTGGTCACATATATATGCAAGTCATAAATAATGAACAGACTCTCTTTAGAAAAAGGTCTGAGATGTTTACTCAGATTCCAATAGAATGTAAACTCAAAAAATGCATTTTGTTTGTTTTATTCCCTTGATGTGTGATATGGTTCTGTAAGGGCGATTTGCCATTAGCGTCCCTGGTAGCGCAGGTTCAATTCATTGAAACAGTATCTGTACACCTTGCCCTCTCTAGATATCCTTTTAACAGAAGTTTTTTACACTGGGTTGCACATAATCATGTGTGAAGCACTATGGAAAACTTTTGGCGGAACCTATTAAATTGTAATTCTAGGCGACAGGCACGACAAATAAATAGAATGGTTCACCCTTGTATCTAAATCATCTACTTTCCTTTGTAACATCAGAGGCTTTGGCTGAGCAAGTAAAAAATGAGAATTTGGACAAGGGTTTGATCTATCCACCATTCTCTAATATCAGAAAGATCTCTGGCCACATTGTTGCTAATGTGGCTGCTAAAGCATATGAACTTGGTGAGTTAGTAAGTGTACCTTTGGTTGCTTCATGTGTCTTACCACCGCTATAATTGCCCTTTGAAGCATGTTTATTTTATGACTTTCACAATGTTTCGTAGTGTTGGCAACGCGTCTCCCTCGGTGTGATAATCTGTTGAAGTACGCCAAAAACTGCATGTATACTCCTAATTACAGAAGCTTCCGATGAATTGTTGAATTGTGAGCAGAAACTATGGCTAGTAGTTAATGTAGTGTGCTTCTTCAGAGTCTGTTATACATTCTTGTTTGGTGTTTCTCCATTTCCCTCTACATTCTAATCATGGTGTTTCGGAACTTTTGTGGTGTTGTAAGCTTTAGAGTTTATATTAGAACCATGACAGTAAGAGTTGGGTTAGATGAAAGGTTGGTTTTAGATGACACATTATCAACTTCAATCTCTACTCGCTACTCACTACCAGTTTAGTACTCTCTGTGAAGTCACAAAAGCTGTGGAAATATGGAGAAATTCAGACTTACCAGTGAAGCATCCGATGCAGTGGTACTTGTAGAATCAACCACTTGCCTCAATTAAGGATTTGGAATGCCAAGCTTGTCATTCTCAAGATGTATTACTAACTTTCATGCTAAGCTTCACTTGAATCGTATGATAGAGAGAGTTCGAAATAGAAGGATATGAGAGAGCGACAGAGCTGGACAAAAGATTTTCAAGTTAATTGCTATGTAATTGTAATAGAATACAGTGTTTTTTAATAAATCAATCCAAGCGTTCTTTAGCCCAAAAGCTAAATTGTATCTTCCCCATTGATTTATTTCTCTTAGTTGTTGGTTCTTGGTGGCCAGTGTGGCAAATGAGCCGAGCTGAGCTCGTTTGTTTATCAAGCTCAAAAAAGAAAAGTTTAAGTTGAGCTTGAATATTTATGCTAATTAATGCTTGAGCTCAACTCAGTTTCTTTATACTAATTATATTCAAGTTTGGTTTGAAACTTAATAATGAAGAAAAATACTAATTATGCTCGAGTTTGATAAAGTCAATAATGAACAAGTTCCGTTTGAAACTTAATAATGAAGAAAAATACTAATTATGCTCAAGTTTGGTTTGAAACTCAATAATGAAGAAAAAAATTTGACTAGAACCTTGAGTGACTCACTTATTAAACGAGCTCAAAAGATTGGTTTGACATTGTTTATATATGTAACAAACTTAGTAGAGTTGAGCTCTTATTGAGTTTATTAAACAAGTCTAAAAATTTAATTTGAACTTGCTTATATATGTAACAAACTGAGCAAGGTTGAACTTTTTATTCATAGTGTCACACCATGTAGACAACACAAGAGGGGGGAAATTGAGTTGATAAATATAACTTAAAATGAAATAATTCAATAAAATTAACTTGGTCAACTCAAGTAAAATAAAAGACTGAATATGTAAAACATGAGCAATAATGTGTGTGAGCAAATCAAGTCAAAGCAAAACAGAGCTGAAAGTATAAATATAAAGGAGAGAGAGAGAGAGAGAAGGCAAACACAAGATTTATAGTGGTTCGGTTTCAACCCAAACCTACGTCCATTCCTCAAAGCTCCCCCTCGAGTATTTCCACTGTTTATCTAATAGATTTACACTTGCAAATTTACCGAATACTTGCAAGACTTTTGCAACAAAAATTTTGTTCCAAAAATCCCAAAAAGCAAACCCACCAAAACAGCCCCTCTTTTGGTGTTACCAAATCTCTCAGGTGTCTCTCTCTCAAACACTCACAATGAAGCTCATGGGTATAACAGCCCTTCACAGATGATTTTTAGAAAAAAAATGCGTAAAGCATTTTGTACATTAATCTCCTAAAGAGTTGGATTTAAACAATTAAAGTTCATAGAGATGATATGAAAGTTACAGTGTGAAATTATTGTATTTTCTCCTATTTTGGAGATTATCCTCTCTCTCACTTATAGATGAATGTATATCTTCTGTTTATAGTCCCTCATCTTCATTTGACCGTTGGAGAGCAAATATAGCCATTGGAATAGGAGAAATAGCCGTTGGAAAGATTCAAAACACACAATAACGATATGGTGAGCACAAATGAGACAACGATGTGGTCCAATTCACATGAAGATAAGTCATATCCGAATAAAAATTATAAGAATAACCTATAAAACACATGATGGGATACAGTCACTTTATTTCTTATTTTTTGAAAAAATAATCATATGTGCCCTATTGTTATTAGGTGGTCACACCCCATATGGGTCAAGTAAAAATATCCTTAAATTATTTGAAGCTGAACGAAGTTCGGTGATTTTGATCTTTTCTTTATCATCAAAATGGCAAGGGGAAAAAAAAACTAGGATGTGCTAGTGTTGTTGAATTGAGTTAAAATCTGAGAGCAAGGGTTAAAAAACAAAAATGGAGAGAATTTACGTAGCCTCTCGAGACTAGTGAATTTTTTTTTCATATTTCGTTTTCGCCTAACTTTTGGGTTGTGAGAACTATCCTTTTATAGAATTCTGGGTTTTAATTGTTGCCTCTTCAAACTAGAGGCTTTTACTATTTAGAGTTGTAGCCCTTTTCATATTGGGCTCGGTTGTTTTTTGGGTAATCAAATACCGACTTACCAAAAATCTAAAAACAATTTTTTTTTTTTTTGTGTTAAAAGTGAATTGTTTTCAGAAAATTTTCACAAAAATCATTTCCAGTAATAAATAATTTGCAAAAATATTTATTTTGCATTTTCCAGAAAATGAAAATAAAAATAAAAATAAAAAACATTATCAAATAGTAGTGCAACTTGTGGCAATTGCAACCATTAATCAAATGTCAAATGAATGGAACATATATACTAACCAAATATATATATCCATAGTGAAAACTTATTTTCTCCACAATACACAACATAACCTAATTATTTGCTTGGTGAACTCTTTCAAATGTAAATGTAGCATACAAAATAAAATCCTACTAGTGATCCAAAAAAAAAATAAAATAAAATTTTAATAAATATTTTGCATATTCTCATACATGTTTTACATATATATCAACATTACATTTGCAACCAAAAAAAGATTACATGATATTTCCCCAATATTCAACTAAGTGAACCTGTTTCTATACAAACCACGGCAGGAAGGAGCTAACTTTTGTGTTCTACACTTGAAGTGAAAATCCCAGTAATAATAACAGTAGAGTTTGGCGTATCATTTTTCGTATGACTCGAGAACAGCGCGAGTTTCCTTGTACCGCTGGAGCATGTAAGTTTCACATTTGATAGGAGGAAACCTGGTGGAAAAGAAGCATTAAAAAATAGAGAAACTTCACAAAAACAAAGAAGTCGAGCATATCCTTCATGCATTTTTATTAATGCGAAAAGGTTTTCAATTTTAATTAGACACTAGCTCAGTAATCTAGGGAGCCTTTAAATGCATCCCAAAAATATTGTTGGACATCCCAAATTCAGTATTTTTTTTTTTTCAAATTTCACTTTATCCCCTCAGAGTTTGAGACCGGATCACGTTACCCACATGTGATTTAAATATAGGCATATTGGCCCCATTATAGTTTTCGACTAAATTACAATCTAACATCTGTTAACAGTAATCATCAAAAGACTATTTTACCCTTGTATGAAAAAAAAAAACCTAATCCTCTTTATCTCTGATATTATACACTTAATTTTAAATTAATCACAAATTTTATTAATTAAACCATCTATATTTGAATCACGGATAGGTAAAGTGCCCCAAACTCAAAGCACAAGGAGTAAAAGTGAATTTTTCCCCCTTTTTAATACCATTTGACCTCTATGTCAAATTACAAAAAAAAAGACAACCCTAAACCAGCTCCGGCTAGACCCTCCCGCGTCCCCCAGCCCCCTACCCACCCTCGGTACCACCTTGAAGGCTCATCTACACCATCTCCTCTTTCCTCCCCAATAATAATTTCACAATCTCAAATATTTTGATGGTGAATCCTAAAGTGCAAATTAATTATTATTGAATGATCTTTTAATTAATTTTAAACCTAAAAAAAAAAATTAGAGAAGAAGGTGTGACTTGAACTCTAAACCACATGGTTAATATGTAAGACTCTTACCATTTGAGTTGTATATAACTTATATATATGTTTCGTATATTTATTTATATATTTGACCTACACATGCTTTAGGTGTATCCAACCACTAGTATAAAATAAAATAAATACAAACCCTACTCCATTATTTGTTCACCACATAGGGAAACAACACATCAGCCACGGGAGAGACTTTGAGAGAAGGAAAAAAAAAAAAAACAGAAGTTGCAATCAAAGAACTTTTGGGTGTGTGGTAGGGTTCTAACTTTCTTCTTTATTTTATATTTGTTCTTTATCCTTATTCTATTTTATGATTTAATTCATTGATGGGGAGGTTGTAGGTGTATGTAATTTGTGTATATATATACTATTAAGAAATCTGAGGAGTTAAATTCATGTATAATGAATGGTGTAATTCTTAGTCCAAAAATTCTGTACAGAATCACAAACTTTAAAAATCAAGAAACCATATCAAACGAATGAATTTTGAACTGAAAGTTTTATAGTAGATTAATTACATATTGAATTGCATATCTGAATTCTCTCACAATTTTTGAGAGTCAAAATCCATCGAAACTAATGCGTTCAAATCTGTCCAGAAAATTGGTTTTAAACAGTAAGTTCGGGAGTGTTGTTCTCTTTGGGTATAAATCCGAAAATTATCAAATCAGCATCATTAGAACTGTCTACGAGTCTAGTTTCGTACGTTTTTGGCCTTGCATTGATTGCTCATGTATACTAAGAGAATCATTAATTCCTTTAAAGTGCTGCAGAAAACAATCTGTTTAGATATAATTAATTGTAGATAATTATTTTGACAAGCAAATCAAGTGAAACCATTTGGGTTTGAAACTTAGGATATATTAGTTGATATCCGGAGGGTTTTAGAATTTTGCGAACAACGTGGAGTGGATTTTTTAATTTTCAAAGTTGGCGAATAGATTGGGAAAACTAGTTTAAAATTCTGTTTTATCTTAAAGTTACTTTTAATTAAGTTTCGATTTGAAGCCATGTCTTGGGTGATTTTAGACCTTGAAGAACGTGAACTTAGGTAGTATTTAAGAGTAACGGTGAGTTGGGTTGAGCCGTGTTAGTGCGCTTTAGTTTGGGGTTACTTAGTTCTTATTCTTTAGTAATTTTAAATTAGTAGTGACGTGCAGTTTTCATACTTGGTTCAATGCACTAGTTGGACTTTCATACTCTATTCGAGAATTATATTATTTCGTTTTCAGGTGAGTAGTTGCATGCTACATATTTTTATAAGTCTTCCCCTACCCTGAACTGTTGGAAAATTAAATTGTTGTTTCAGGACTAAACTGTTTTGATAAATTATTATATTATCAATTGAATCAAATTATTTCTGAAACATGTGTGAACTTGGCATACTGTAAACTATTTGTTTTGGTCTCATGTTTATAATGATGAACCACCATGTTTTACAAAACTGATGTGTAACCACTGACCATAGAGCGTGAAGTAATGTGTGTGAACAGGGACCAAGCTGGATGGATGCAATAGTGGCATTCTTGAAAGAAGGAAAATTGCCAGATGAAGGGAAATTATTCCACTGTGTGTGGTGACTCTGGCCACTAGGGAATAGATCCGGGTTGGGCCGTGATGACTCTAGTGTTCAACGATTGTAAGGAAAAGACCTAGGTTAGGCTAGGTGACCTTCAATCAGATCGTCTTAGAGAAAAGGCCCGGGTTGCCACCCTAAGGATGACTCTTTGTTCGATATTGGATCCAACGGGGCTTATAGCCTTGAGAACTGCGTGGCATGTTATTTGTTATTTCTTGGTACCCAAAAAATTATTGGTGTTCATGTTGTAATATGTTTTAAGTGGGAAATATCATTTATCATGTTCTTGAGAGATATGAGTATTTTAACTAATGAACTGCAAAACCTTCTTTTTGAAATAGATTCCCTTTACCAAACTATATGCCAATCTAGTTTCTGCGATATATGTCTTATTTTGGAATTGATCCCTGTTTTCAAAACTGTATATACTATCCATGTTGCTACTCACTGAGCTATCAGCTGACTTAGTTGTTTACCATTTCCAGGTGTTAGAAGGAGTTAGAGTGGACTCATGGCGTAGCGGGGACTTAATTGCATGGACCTCTAGGACATTCATTTATATTGTTTTAGACTGTTATGTCAGGTTTGTGCATATTTATATTTATTTTTATTGAGGTTCATTTAGGATTATTTTGATATGTGGGTTGTTTATATTCTATAAGTTTGGATGGTATTGATTACGGTTTTTTTTGCCGTTTATATTTGTGGCATGACACTGGATTGAGTTTTGATTATTTATTAATGGACTATTTTATAGTTATTCAATGTGTATGGATTCGTATTTAGGCTTACGTGTGCCTTGAGCTAAGGCCCTGTGGGCCACGGCCGACATTTGTGGTATCAGAGCTGTAGGTTTATCGAGCTACATGTCTTGCATTTCATCATTGAGACGAGGTCCGAGTCCTTATAGTCCTTAGTAGTGTGTGGTTGAGTCGGTTTTGTTTAAACTTGTGTTGAGTCTTTCTTGATTTCAGTTTGAAGGTTAAGAGTTAGCATCTAGATATCTACATGGATTGTCTATTCCTTGTGAGCCTTTGGATGTTTGTATTACCGTGTCTACTCTATTAGGAGAAATAGTAGTATTGGGAGATGTTTGTGGATCTTGTGAGGTAGAGATGGATAGTAGAATTTTTCCAGTGAATTTCTTTTCCTTAGAGATGATTTGATGTGATTTTGGGGATGGATTGGTTGACGAAGCATCATGCCTCTGTTGATTGTTTTAGAAAGAGGGTAGTTTTTGCTATGCCAAAGCAACATGAGCTTTTCTTTCAAGGAGATAGGAAAGGGTCTTCTATTTGTTTTATTTCTTCTTTTTAGGCTAACTGAATGTTGAGAAAACGGTGTCATGGTTACTTAGCTTGTGTGGTGAGTATCAAACTGCCAGAATAGAAGTTAGAGGAGTTGCCTATAGTGAGTGAATGTGTTGATGTTTTTCCAGAGGATTTACCTGGTCTTCCACCAAATAGTGAGGTAGAATTTTCCATTAACTTGGTCCCCAATACAACACCTATCTCTAAAGCACCCTATAGAATGGCACCGTTGGAGTTGAGGGAGTTACAAACTCAGTTACAGGAGTTGCTAGACAAAGGTTTTATTAGGCCTAGCATCTCACCTTGGGGAGCACCTGTGTTGTTTGTGAAGAAGAAGGATGGGTCTATGAGATTGTGTATTGATTATAGAGAACTGAACAAAGTCACAGCAAAGAATCGATATCCTTTGCCACGCATTGATGACCTATTTGACCAGTTGCAGGGACCTCAAGTATTCTCTAAGATTGACTTGAGGTCAGGCTATCACCAATTAAAGGTAAGGGGTGAGGATGTTCCTAAGATAGCTTTTAGAACCCGTTATGGGCATTATGAGTTCTTGGTGATGCCTTTTGGTCTCAAAAATGCACTAGCCGCATTCATCGATTTGATGAATATAGTATTAAACCCCAACTGGATAAATTTGTGGTAGTGTTTATTGATGACATCCTAATTTTTTCGAGGAGTACGGAGGAGCATGAGTAGCATTTGAGGGTAGTACTTCAGATCCTTAGGGAGAAGAGACTGTATGCAAAATTTAAGAAGTGTAAATTTCGGTTGAGTAGTGTATCCTTTTTGGGTCATGTAGTGAGTAAAGATGGGGTATCTGTGGATAGCACGAAGGTGCCATCAATTGTTGATTGGCCACAACCTACTTCTGTGACGGAGGTACGTAGCTTTCTAGGGCTTGCTGGGTATTACAGACGGTTTGTGGAAGGATTCTCCCATATTGCTTTGCCACTTACCAATCTCACCAGGAAAGGGGTAAATTTTTAGTGGAATGATGATTGTGAGCGTAGTTTCCAAGAGTTTAAACAGAGATTGACATCACCTCCAATCCTTGCCTTACCTACAGATGGAGGTGGTTTTGTGATTTATAGTGATGCTTCATGACAGGGTTTAGGATGTATGCTCATGCAGCTTGGGAAGGTGATTGCTTATGCGTCACGACAGTTGAAAGTACATGAGAGAAACTATCCTACGCACGACTTGGAGTTAGTAGCAGTGATTTTCGCTCTTAAGATCTGGCGACATTATTTGTATGATGAGTCATGTGAGATTTACACTGATCATAAGAGTTTGAAGTATATTTTCACACAGAATTAACTAAATTTGAGGCAAAGAAGATGGCTTGAGTTACTAAAAGATTATGATATGAATATTTTATATCATCCGGGGAAGGCAAATGTGGTTGCAGATGCCTTGAGTAGGAAGGTCGCAGTTGGAGATGTAGCTGCTTTGTCTATTGAGAGTTGTCTGGTAAAAGACATGAGACATTTGAGGCTTGAGGTTGTTACGCCTGGTGATAGGGCTTATTGTAGTCAATTGATAATTCAGCCGACTTTGACAGAACAGATTCGTTTAGCTCAGGAGATTGACCCCCAGTGTGAGCGTATTAAAGGAGAGATGGCAGAGGGTAAGCATGTAGACTTTGTGGTTAGTGATGACGGGTTGCTTAGATTCCGTAGTCGAATTTGTGATTCTGTTGGTGGTGATTTGAGGAAGGAGATTATGGTAGAGGCACATAGTTCTAGTGATAGTTATAGCATTCATCTTGGAAGTACTAAGATGATCGGGATCTTCATGAACATTTTTGGTGGAATAGTATGAAGGGAGATATTGCAGAATTTGTGGCTCAGTGTTTGGTGTGTCAACAAGTTAGAGTAAAACATCAGAAACCTGCTGGGAAACTGCAACCCTTACTTATACCAGAGTGGAAGTGGGATCATATTACCATGGACTTTGTGTGTGGTTTACCTCGTACTAGTAGTAATCACGATGCAGTTTGGGTAGTTGTTGATAAATTAACCAAGTCGGCACATTTTATTGCAATTCGGATGAACTATTCTCTAGCTCGATTTGCATAGTTGTATGTGAAGGAGATTGTTAGATTGCATGGTGCACCTGCGTCAATAGTGTCAGATCAGGACCCTCGTTTTGTTTGGGGTGCATTACAGTCAGCGATGGGTACTCAGTTAAATTTTAGTTCAGCTTATCACCCTCAGACAGGTGGGCAATCGGAGAGGACTATTCAAACCCTTGAGGATATGTTGAGGGCTTGTGCTTTGGAGTGGAGAGGTAATTGGGATGATTATTTACCACTCACAGAGTTTGCGTATAATAATAGTTATCATTTTAGTTTGGGAGTAGCTCCTTATGAGGCTTTGTATGGGAGGAAGTGTAGGTCTCCATTGTGTTGGTATGTGGTTGGTGAGAGGCAGATGTTGGGACCTGATTTGGTGGAGGATGCTACACAGAAAATTATCACCATCAGAGAGAGATTATTGACTACTCAGAGTAGACAAAAAAGTTTTGTTGATCATCGTAGGAGAGACTTAGAGTTTCATGTGGGGGATATGGTATTCTTGAAAGTATCACCATGGAAAGGAGTGATCAGGTTTGGAAAGAAAGAAAAGTTGAGTCCTAGATACATTCGTCCATTTGAGGTATTGGAGAAGGTTAGTGAGGTTGCGTATCGTGTTGCTCTACCCCTAGGTTGGAAGGACTGCATAATGTGTTTCACGTGTCTATGCTGAGGAAATATGTGCACAGTCCGTCGCATGTGATAGATTATGAGCCATTTCAGATTAAAGAAAATTTTTCATATGAGGAGATGCCTGTTCAGATTTTGGATTCGAAAGAGAAAATGTTGCGTACAAAGGTCATTAAATTGGTTAAGGTACTATGGCGTAATCATCTAGTTGAAGAGGCGACTTGGGAACGCGAGGATGAGATGCGCGAGAAGTACCCACATCTATTCTCATGATTTATTCAGGTTAGTTTCGAGGACGAAACTTTTCTTTTACAGGGGGAGAATGTGAGAACCCGAATATACAAATCAAGTACAAAATTAAATAATAATAATTTCACAATCTCAAATATTTTGATGGTGAATCCTAAAGTGCAAATTAATTATTATTGAATGATCATTTAATTAAGTTTAAACCTAAAAAAAAAAATTAGAGAAGAGAGTGTGACTTGAACTCTAAACCACAAGGTTAATATGTAAGACTCTTACCATTTGTGTTGCATATAACTTATATATCTGTTTCGTATATTTATTTATATATTTGACCTACACATGCTTTAGGTCTATCCAACCAAACCAAACCAAACCAAACCAAGCCTTAAGTCCCATCAAATGGGGTCGGCTACATGAATCCTTCTTCTCCACGCGGCCCTATCAAAGGCCATTTCATTAGTCAAACTAAGTAGATTCATATCTCTATTTATAACGCTAGTCAACGTTAATCTAGGCCTACCCCGTCCCCTAACACTTCCATCTACCGTTACAGCATCGCATCGCTTCACTACTGCCTCTGTTGGTCTCCGTTGAATATGACCAAACCATCTCAAACGATTCTCTCTCAACTTATCTTCTATCGGTGCTACTCCTACCCATTCCCGAATACACTCATTCCTAATCCTGTCCTGTCTAGTCTTACCACACATCCACCTTAGCATCAATGGGATCTTATAGAATCGTGGAATCCTGCTCCGAATCCGATCCTATCTGATCCAATTTGTAAGCCTTGTTTTGCATTGTATAATCTATTTTATTGTAAATTTTATGTTTGTTATCTAAATATCAATTTATGTAGTCCAAATGAATATTAAAAATAAAAAAAATAAATAAAAATAAAATAAACAAACAAGCATTTAATATAATACCAATTTAATAAAACTAAGTAGTTGGAAAAACAAACCTAACTTTAGTAGGGTCTACGGAGGGTAAGATGATTGTAACTTTATCCCAATTTTTATGACTTGAACCCATGCTAATGACAAACCTTATCGTCCGGTTAAGCCGCTCTTTTGACTTCTCAATCTATTTTCATATCCGACTTTATTAAATATTGTTTCTTTACTTTTTATGCATTGTTGTAGATTACAAAGTATTATATTATAGAATTCTTCTTGTTCACCTTCTTTTTTTATGAAATGCAAAATTTTTACCATCAAGTTTTCTATTGTATAATATTAATATTATATTTACATTTTACATAGAGTATTATATTTTTCACAATATTTTTACTTCTTTTTAGTAGAATATAGGTTTATTTTGTGTATACTTTTTAAGAAATGTTTATTTAAATTAAATTATTACGTAATTTGTCTTTTTCAGTAGGATCTTACAATTCTCGATCTGATCCTATAAACATTCTAACGATCTAATGTAGGATCCCAATTTTAACAACCTTAGTCATAGTGCAAATAAATACACATCATATCAATGGTCCAGGAAAAATTGTGTGTGGAACTGGAGTTATCCTGCAAAAATGTTTCCCAATACAAGTTTTCTTTACCAAAAACCTATTTTAGGGACTGTTCAAAAAAAAACCTATTTTAGGGTAACTACGCAAATCTGGCATTCAGCTGTTACGAGTTACTTTTAAGATTCTTGATCAAACAATATACCAACATTTGTAAAATTGTCATGCTAAATAAATGAATTTCGTGGGTAAAATATGCATTAAAAATGGGTGAGGTGTACACTGCAAAATATCTTCTAATGAATAGTTGAATGATGGAAGCTCTACCTTGCTGCAAGACGACATAAGGAAGCTGACGTACATATTTATGATATTTTCTTGATAGGCCAAATTGAAATTTAGCTCAAGCAACAATTTTGATTTTGTTGAAGACACACTATTTTTTCCTTTCATTTGAATACTGCATTTTCTTAGGCTAACTTGTATGCACCTAAAGAGGTTATGGTTTCCATCCTTCTAGATTGGATGCAACTAATGTATGGAGATAGGATGCATCTGAAAGCATGCATGGTGGTGATTGGGAAGCAAGGGATGAGGCCATTTTAGCCTCATTCAAACAAATAGTCAAAACGCTTTATTGTAGCTGAGGTTTGGCACATGGTTCGTGGCTGTGCAGGACAGAGGGTGAAATTACGATTTTGCCCTTTTAATTTTTGACTAACACACCAACTTAGCATTTCAACACACAGGGGCAATTTGGTCATTTCCTATCCCAACACATCACATTAGCATGCCAACAACAACTTTTTAGGGATAATTTGGTTATTTTTTATCCCAACATCATTTCAAACACATATTCCAATACAACAATCAAACAAAAAATTCAACCCATCTTCCCAAACACAAACTAAAATAACCTACTAAAATAACCAACCTATAACCAGGTTCTCTCCTACGGGTATCTCCTGTAAGATCTCATCCATTTGCTCCCAAAAATCCCTCTTAGTCTGATCATCTAACCCAACTTGAGGGGCGTAAGCGCTAATAATGTTCACTATATTCCCTCCAATAACTAGTTTAACTAACATAATCCTATCTCCTTTCCTAGTGACCGCCACCACACTTTCCACAAGACCCTTGGAAATTATGATTCCTACCCCATTCCTGCGTCTATCCTTACCACTATAATAAAGTTTAAAACCAGTATCCTCAATTTCCCTAGCTTTCTCTTCCATCCACTTAGTTTCTTGTATGCAAGCTATACTAACTCTCCTCCTAATCATAACATCTACCAATTCCATCGTCCTACCAGTTAAGGTTCCTATGTCCCAAGTGGCTATCCTAAACCTATAGTCTTGGACTAGCTTCTTTACCCGCTCTCGTCCAGAAAAACGCGGAAACCTTTGCCCATTTTTCACCGCACCCAGGCGTCGATGCGGCGCCCCTTGCTCACTTTTCGAAACACCCGGAGGCAGGCGCAGCGCGTCACTTGAGGGGAACGGCCTAGCATTTAAACGATTCGAAGTAGGATTCATTTTCATAAGGGATCCGAGCGGCTTTTTTACGTGTTGGCGTCCAGAAAAACGCGGAAACCTTTGCCCATTTTTCACCGCACCCAGGCGTCGATGCGGCGCCCCTTGCTCACTTTTCGAAACACCCGGATGCAGGCGCAACGCGTCACTTGAGGGGAACGGCCTAGCATTTAAACGATTCGAAGTAGGATTCATTTTCATAAGGGATCCGAGCGGCTTTTTTACGTGTTGGCTGTCGGCTACCTAACACACAACCCTCCTCCTTAACCCGGGCTTGGGACCGGCGGAGTTGTTAGCAACCCCGGCGGAGTTGCTTTAGGTCTATCCAACCACTAGTATAAAATAAAATAAATACAAACCCTGCTCTATTGTTTGTTCACCACATAGGGCAACAACACAGCAGCCACGAGAGAGACTTTGAGAGAAGGAAAAGAAGAAGAAGAAGTTGCAATCAAAGAACTTAACTTTTGGGTGTGTGGTAGGGTTCTAACTTTCTTCTTTATTTTATATTTGTTCTTTATCCTTATTCTATTTTATGATTTAATTCATTGATGGGGAGGTTGTAGGTGTATGTAATTTGTGTATATATATACTTTTAAGAAATCTGAGGAGTTAAATTCGTGTATAATGAATGGTGTAATTCTTAGTCCAAAAATTATGTATAGAATCACAAACTTTAAAAATCAAGAAACCATATCAAACGAATGAATTTTGAACTGAAATTTCTATAGTAGATTAATTACATATTGAATTGCACATCTGAATTTTCTCATAATTTTTGAGAGTCAAAATCCATATAAACTGATGCATTCAAATCTGTCCAGAAAACTGGTTTTAAACAGTAAGTTCGGGAGTGTTGTTCTCTTTGGGTATAAATCCGAAAATTAACAAATCAGCATCATTAGAACCGGATACGAGTCTAGTTTCGTACATTTTTGGCCTTGCATTGATTGCTCATGTATACTTCGAGAACCATTAATTTCTTTAAAGTGTTGTAGAAAACAACCCGTTTAGATATAATTAATTGTAGATAATTATTTTGACAAGCAAATCAAGTGAAACCATTTGGGTTTGAAACTTAGGATATATTAGTTCATATCCGGAGGGTTTTAGAATTTTTTGAACAAAGTGGAGTGGGGTTTTTAATTTTCAAAGTTAGCGAATAGATTGGGAAAACTAGTTTAAAATTTTGTTTAATCTTAAAGTTACTTTTAATTAAGTTTAGATTTGAACCCATGTCTTGGGTGATTTTAGACCTTGAAGAACATGAACTTAGGTAGTATTTAAGAGTAACGGTGAGTTGGGTTGAGTCGTGTTAGTGCGCTTTAGTTTGGGGTTACTTAGTTCTTATTCTTTAGTATTTTTAAATTAGTAGTGACGTGTAATTTTTATACTTGGTTCAGGGCACTAGTTGGACTTTCATACTCTATTCGAGGATTATATTATTTCGTTTTCAGGTGAGTAGTTGCATGTTACATATTTTTATAAATCTTCCCCTACCCTGAACTGTTGAAAAATTAAATTGTTGTTTCAGGACTAAACTGTTTTCATAAATTATTATATTATCAATGGAATCAAATTATTTCTGAAACATGTGTGAACTTGGCATACTATAAACTATTTGTTTTGGTCTCAAGTTTATAACGGTGAACTACCATGTTTTACGAAACTGATGTGTATTGATTATTGGGACCATTTGTATATTTTAGTCCAGGAAAATTATTCCATTGTGTGTGGTGTAAGGAAAAGACCTAGGTTAGGCTAGGTGACCTTCCATCAGATCGTCTTAGAGAAAAGGCCCGGGTTGCCACCTTGAGGATGACTCGTAGTTCGATATTGGATCCAACGGGGCTTATAGCCTTGAGAGCTGTGTGGCATGTTACTTGTTATTTCTTGGTACCCAGAAAATTATTGGTATTCATATTGTAATCTGTTTTAAGTGGAAAATGTCATTTATCATGTTCTTGAGAGACATGAGTATTTTAACTAATGAACTGCGGAACCTTCTTTTTGAAACAGATTCTCTTTACCAAATTGTATGCCAATTTAGTTTCTATGATATATGTCTTATTTTGGAATTGATCCCTGTTTTCAAAACTATATATACTATCCATGTTGCTACTAACTGAGCTATCAGCTGACTTAATTGTTTACCATTTCCAGGTGTTAGAAGGACTTAGAGTGGACTAAGTTTGGATGGTATTGACTACGGTTGGTTTTGCCATTTTTATTTGTGGCATGACACTGGATTGAGTTTTGGTTATTTATTAATGGACTATTTTATTGTTATTCAATGTGTATGGATTCGTATTTAGGCTTACGTGTGCCTTGGGCTCAGGCCCTATGGGCCACGGCCAGTCGTACCTGGGTTTGGGGTGTGACAGCGATGGTGGTGATGTGGTTTAGATTAGGGATTGAGAAGAAGAACAGGGGAGGGCTGTGGGGTGTTGCGGAGAGGTGGGGGGCGTCAAGAAGAAATGAGAGGGGGGTATTAGGGAGCACAGGGAGGGGGCAACAGGTGGTGGGGAGAGAAGGGGTGGTCTGGGTGGCTGGCTAATAGGTTGGATGGGTGCGGGTGCGGGTGCGGTCGGAATTAATTGGGGTATTCAAAGAAAATCAACAAAATTTAAATTCAAGAATGGGGTGTCCAAAGGAAGGGGGATCCAACCATTGTTTTGGAGTACAATTAGAGGTTCCCACTTGTCCACATATGTTGCACATAATGATGACGTTATGGTCCTCACGTCATTGTGTGGGTGATAGCTCATTTGTGATCATACGTACTCAAATTAGTTGCAGTTATCAATGGTTAACATGTGTTCATACTTAGATCAATGCAGGTATGAACAGTTTATCCGTGTTCAATTGATACTTACTTGGGAGGGTTCTCTTGCGACTGGCAGGTGGGCAAGCATTCAACAAGACAATCATGATTAGGCTCCACAAAGTATGCAATCTGCTCAATGAAAAAATAATAATAATAATAAATAAATGAAAATAAATCGAATAAAATGAAAACCAAAAAGCAAAAAGAGCCATTGTGTATGTTAGACGATAATATTGCATAAATGCAATAAGAGAACATTCAAAAGCTTTTAAAGGGACCTTACAGAATATCTCTCCTGACCATTACCCACCACTCGATGCAACGTGGACCTGGATAAAATTAAGCAAGTGAACACACAGATACCCAAGTACCATAAAATTATATTCCCAACACTCAAACCACATACTAGAAAAATTGTCATTCAAGGTGGCGGCAATGAGAAATTATTGTTCCAAAATTTTTGCTCTAAAGAAGGCAATGTCCCATATCGTACTCAATATTATCTCACAATAAACAACTGAAAAATAAATAATAATAATAATAATCCGACTGATTGTCATGAAGCTACAAAACCATCATTTAGGAACTTTGGCAAATGCACATTACCTGAAAATACAGTTGCTCCAGCGCTCTAGCATGTCACCAAGATTCACTATAAATGCTCTGAAAGTTAGATTTCAATCATCAAGACAGTAAGAAAATGCTGATAATATAGTAAAAGATTCATTCTACATCAAATTGTAGCAGCTAAATGTAATATATGGTCTCTTTCATCTAACCTCAGCTCATAATCACAAAAGCATGTAGAAAACTTAGACTAGCTCCAATAAAGGTGTCTAATATTGTCCAGAATATATAAAGTTTTCTTCCTTTCTATTTTTTGATAACTGAAAACTAATCCTAGGCAGTGCCCTTTGAACCAATCAAGTCTCTGAAGATTCTATTTACTAACCCTTTTAATGGTGCTACAAATTCCCACTTCTGAGGTTTAGCATCCTTATCCTTGCAAATCTGCAATAATTGAAAAGATCACAATCCCCTTTTTACAAAATATATTAGAAATACAATTCAAATTCTTAACTATATCAGTACCTGGAGACCAAAGACGTCATCAGTTGCCAAGAGTGTTATCAAACCAAAATCAGAATGTACACCTGCTCCGTATATTCCCTTCATGGGATCAGAAACTCTACCTGAAGAATAACCAAACACTTATGTCATGATACAGGTGACATCAATTACATTAGAATTCCATGATCCTCAATTTAATTTTCACCTTCGTAGTATAGCAGACGCAAGTTTGCAATAGGCTTCCCAAGCATTTCTTGTCTATCAAAAAAGTCAACCTCGAGGTTAAGTGCAAGAGCAATGATCCTTGAAATTGCTTTTGCCACCTCACTAGCACGCACATAAAAGATACATGAGGAAAATGAGAAAAAAATCTATCAAAAAATCACATGAACAATGTCATATATCTAAAACTAAAAGCATGAAATCATGGCCGAACAAGTCACAAGGCTTAAATGGAATGATAGGTAATTGCTATTTTTTAACAAATGAATTTCTAGTGGGAAAGGAGAACAACTCCCAATAGAACAACCATATGGATTGGTTTTATACATGTCCCAATTTAACAATGGTGTTCAGAAATATACCTCCGTGGCTAAAACAATGCACTCAAAATATACCTCCATATGGATTGGTTTTATACATGTCCCAATTTAACAATGGTGTTCAGAAATATACCTCCGTGGCTAAAACAATGCACTCAACCTAATTCTTTGTTAGTATTCCTCAAGTTATGCAGCATATTTTATGCTAATTTGCATCATCGAAAATGTAACAAAATATAAAAGATCTTAGAGTGATTGGGAAAACATGTAAGAATTGAAGTTAAAAGTCTGGACAATATAGATAAAAAGCAATACACCCCAAGTTTTCGTAATGAAAATATATATAAATATGAATCTTTGTGGTCTTAGAATATTATTCTCATCCATCACCATAAAATTTTCATGGCAAGGGATGAGCTTGTATAATTACAACAGACAAACTCGTCAACCAAGCTTCATAGGACCCACCAGACTGTGCCGTCAAGACCAGATGGGATAAAGGTATGAGTTCTCTCATGCAGTTCTTCAGTCTATGCTCTTAGCTCACATCCCTAAGCCTTTCTTTAGTATATACAGAACTTCGAATATTTTATATGAAGTTATCCTTCCCATAATGTGATATTTTCCAAGATTTATTAGTCTAATGCAATACTTTTAAATTGACAATAGGGTATTGATATTAGATAACAATGAGAAAATAATATGATGCATCATTTCTGCTTAGACACCAAAACAAGACAAGATAATTCAATTTGCTACATGAAGAGTTATAATGTTTGGTACAAAGCAGCGAATACATCTGCCAGTAGTATATGAAGTTCGTTACAAAAAGATTAAGCTTGAACAAAACTTACAGTGCCTCTCTATGATATTTCTCCATAGTTTCCCTCCATCCAGGCAAGATATCTTTCAAACGGCCAAAAGACCAAACGGGTTAATACTGATTACAAACCAATACCATGTAGAATGCTCAAATGCTTAAATCACATCAAGTTGAATTAAGCTCTGATATGTGTGTGTGTGTGTGTGTGTGAGAGAGAGAGAGAGAGAGATGATTGGGACATGGCATGAATTACACATACTTCGCACTTTCTTAAGACTTGAATGGATTTGGTAACTTACCAGAAGGGGGCCAGACATTGGGTCCATAAAATGGCTTTTCTATGTCAGGATCGTTTTCAGGTACTTCTATTCCAATGTAATATCCCTCCTTATAATCTCCTATATCCGTAAAATAGGATAATCAATACTTTTCTTTTTTATGAAACATGGATCTCTCTGTTATAATTAGTTTAAATTTAAACAAAAATAAATCAAGAAAAATGGATCAACTGGAAGAAGAAAAGAATGGGACAATATAACGAACAAAACAATGTGGGTGGCATCTCAAAGTAGGAAGGCAACAACATAATTATGTAAACAAGGACATATATGAATGCATATAGGCTCAAGTTTGTTTGAGGCCTAAGGCATAAAAAACATAAATGAAGCCTTTTTAAGATTTTCATTTGAAATATATTTTTCTTTTCTGTTCAAATGCAAAATTACTAATTACATTCAAGTTTTCTAACATATCATTTGTAATTGTTATTGCGGGTAGTTCACTTATTGTTTCTTATGACTTAATCAATCTTAGGTTAAACTTTATCCATTTTAATTTTTTTTTTTACAATGCAATTGTTATAGATAAAAAAAAACAACGTCCAATTAGTACACATTAATGTGCATTTGGGAGCGGAAATTTTATAATCATGGATACATTGGAAATTTTAGCTTTCTTTAATTATGCAATATATCAATTGAAGTGCTCCCTTCAGCTTGCGAAACTTAATTTATAACTTTCAATTCCCAAAACAAATTTGAACATCGATATCATCTTATACAAAAATTCCAAATGCAAATTTAAGACAACTATCCCTACTTTTTTAACAGTTAGTGCGATTGCAAATTTATATTTATCATATTAAACTATATAAAAGTGAGGCCTTTTACTGTGTGGGGATGTTAGGCGAAAGTCTAATTTTCCTAGCACTCAAGCCACTTCTTGACACGCATGATCATGCAAGCACAATATATACATATATATACACATACATGTCAAGCACATACCAAGCTATACAATAGATGTCAACTTGTATTAAAAAAAGCATCATATTGATCTGATATTCACTTTTGTGCTTATTGCTAAAAAGTAGTGTGACACTAGAAAAATGATAGCAGAGCAAACCATGTATTTGATTGACAGGATCCGAATGATCATTGAAAAGGGGAGTGTAGCCTCGATGTTTCTTGTTTCTAAGAACCTTCATTTTCTCACTTACGGGTAGATCAAAAAAACTTTTGCTTTGGTTAAAAACCTCATCCATAAATTCCTGGCTGATTCCATGATTGATCACATAGAAAAACCCAGAATATCCTGGGAGATAGACGCCACTCATCCGTAAGTACCTTAGCGGGGCGAATCTGTCTTAAGGACAGAGTGTCACACACTCGACTTGGTCTTGTAATTTTATTTGGTTCGACAAAATAAATCCGGTATGTTATTTATTTATTTTGTTTGAGTATATTTCTAGTTATTTTATTTACACAGAAGATTGTTCCAACACTAAATACTAACTAACCTAATGGCATTGCCTATTTTTATGGTTCAAAAAAAATAAAAATAAAAAATAAAACTAATAATAACATTGCGGTCAAAAGCTCTTGATCATCCACATTTCACTGTACAGAAAATTGACTAATTTTTGTAAATGTTAAGTTTAAAAGAGAAGCATAAAAAATGACATTTTATCCTAAATTCAATTCATAAATGGGATTTCAATATTTGATTCAATAGGTTGTTCACAGTACTATTTGGGTTGGTTAAAGTAAGTTTTCCTATTTTTTCCATAGTTCAAAACCTATAAAAATTCAAAAATTTTACTTTGCTTTCCCATGATCCAAACAAATAGTGGCATAAGAATCAATTATAGTTTATACCCCTACACTTAATATTCAATCTCACTTTTCCCTTGACCTTTTAATTGCTCCGATCAATCCCTAGACTTTGAATCAAGTTATAATTTGGCCCCACATATACAAGCATCATTTCAAAACGAACAAAGAACAATCACAAAAATATTCATTACACTTAGCACCCTTATATTTTTACCGCAATCTCACTTTAGTCCTTCCACTCTAGCTCTTATGATCCAAGTACGTTACTAAAATCTCACACTTTTAGATCATCAATTTGGATAGAGATTTCAAAAAAAAAAAAAACAAAAAACAAAAAAGAGTGAAATATAAATGAAATATAGTTATATTTTCACCTACCATTTTGATTTCTAAATCTCTATCCAAATCCATAATCCAAACCCATCCAAGTTAATTTTTGAGTTAATTTTTCAAATGCTATTATAAGATTGAGCCTAATTGCAACTTGACTCAAAATAGAGTAGTTGAGTGAGATAATTAAAAGTTCAACGGATCAAATGAGATTGAAGGTAAACTATAAGATGCAACCTTATATTTTTACCACAATCTCACTTTAGTCCTTCTATGCTAGCCTTATCATCTATAATATACTTTTACTAAAATTTCAGTTTGTAGGTAAAGTATAGGATGCAAAAGTGTAAATTTTCCAATAAGATCCCAAGTTGAATACCGCTTATAATCTGATCATGCTTAAAGCACCAAACATCAACAATCGGACATGTTATTGGTTGGTCGAGGGGCCACCCACGTGGCATGTATTGTGTGGATTGTGATTGATGGAGGAGTAGGATTCATGATTTTATATTAAATAACTAAACAATATAGGGCATAGAGGCTTGTGATTAACTTGGAATATGATCACGTGACGCTACACATTTTTCGATCCGTATATAATCAATCAATCAAAAAAACCAGATATATGAGGGAGAGAGAGAGAGAGAGAGTGAGAGAGTGTGTGTGTGTACCTGTTTGAGTAAAGAAACAGAGTCATGAATGTCATGGCTAGAAAGATCGATACAATTGAGTGCAGGGAAGTTTTTAAAATCTCCAGGAGCTTCAAGAGCTTCATTCGTCAAATTCTCCATTTCTAAAGATATGAGGTTCTGATATTTCCTTACCAATATTATCAATCAATTAAGGGTAAATTACACTCATACCCCTCTATTTTCTTACAATATCACTTCCACCCTCTTTAATAATTGAAATACCAATGCACTCATACATTTGAAAATAATGTAACAATTCAGTCCTTCTGTCAGTCGGTTAATTCAATGAACAAGGGAACTTCTATTTACACCCCATTAATTATCTCAAGACACATCATTACTTAATTGACACCTGAACAATTTTAAAGTTTAATCAATACACACCCCAATATATCATCTTTACCCTTGAGATGTACACACATTCCTAATTAATTTAGTACACGAGTAATGTTATAGACTCAAAATTTCATCAAATTTTTTACAAACAACAATGATACAGAAAAACTACCCACTCTTCCACCTCCTCCATTTCATACTTTATGATCTTCCATGATCTTTCATAACTTCCTTCAACCTTCACTTCATGCTCCATGTGCTCCATCACCTTTCCAAATTTCATAACTTCTCATAACCTCCAAATGAGTAGAGGGTGCCACATGTCTTGCAATTATATAAATAATAAATAATAAAATTGTAGATTTATGGTGCTAACAACTGCGAATTGGCTTGCAAAGTTGTTTGCTTCCGAAGCAAATATGTCCCTATCTTCTCATCGTTCTTTGTATACTCTCTCTCTCTCTCTCTCTCTCTCTCTCTCTCTCTCTCTTTCCGATTTTGGACCCATCCCACTTCTTCATTCATCTCTCTCTCTCTCTCTCTCTCTCTCTCTCTCTCTTTCCGATTTTGGACCCATCCCACTTCTTCATTCATCCAATTCAAGCATTGATAACCCAAAAATCAAGGGATTTTCATTCCAGTCTTTAATCTTATTCTTTCTTATCTACCATTTTTCTCTTCAACACAAGCCATTCTATTCCTCATAATAACTTTTGTTGTTTCTATGGCCAAATCCCCATTTTCTCAACCCATCCTCTTTCTCCTTCCTCGTCTTTCTCTACTCAACTAGCCGCATAAAGATCCATGTACAATCATCGCTAAAAATATGACATATTTTGTAAAAGAAAAATAATTTGGATCTCTAATTGCTGAGCTCTATGAGAGCTCTAAACATGTGGGTCCCATCTGCTTGTGTGTATTTTTTATTTTTTTTTTTTTGCCCATCATTAAGTGTATAGGCTTGTCATTACTAGAACCATGTGAAGAAAAGTCTAGCTATTATATGTTCATTACTTATTGATTGGTTTATTTGAGAATTCCACTCTATGATGATGACATTTCACTAATTCTAATTCCATCAATTTACGTGTAGTGTACAACCAACCAAAGAAAAGTTACAAGTCTTCGAATGAACTTTCATCTTTTGTTGTTTTGGAAACTTCAACCAGACAAATCAAGTCGACTTCTTCTAGCATGAAAGGTTCATTAAAATAATAATTTTAAATGGGACTTTTTAATTTTAAAATAAATTATATTCACCTCTTCAGTTTTAATATAATTATATTGGTTTTCTAAAATTTTAATTTATATAATAATTATTTTTTTTCATCAACAATTTGTGAGTTATATAAATAAAAAAAATAATATTATCATCTCTTTTATATGAAAATGCATACTTTACGTCATTTATTTTTTATTTTTCCACTATCTGAATTAGTTTTGATCAATTTAATCTTACTAAAAGAAAGATCAATATAATTATGTTAAAAATTATAAGACTTACTATATTTTTTTTTTCAAACATCACGGAAGGATGGTGTAATTTATCCTTAATTTTAATATTGATGTAAAATATTTTATTTTAAATTTATTTTTTCTTACTTTTTAATTGGCAAAATGACTAATATATGTGTGTGTCAATTTCCGACCACACTGCCAATCAAGCACTCAGCTGGAGAACACTGGCAGAATAGATTAAGCCCGAATAACCTGTCACAGAAAAATAAGAATCTAGCGGTGATTTGTCCACCCGGGGGCACTCTGATGATCAAGTTAATAAAATATCTCTCAAAGATAACCAATAATGCTTAACTCACTAGACAGAGCATAAAAGACATACCTTAGACCCATTGGGGTGCCTCCATTTTATAGCCAACACAATCCTAGTCCCAATAGAAGCCTAGCTTTAATGGACTTAGGATTACTGCTAATCTTGGACTCCCAGTAGGATTAGGATAAACTCTTTAAGAGGCTTATCTTTATCTAAACTGAAAGTCCTCTCTCATTCTAGGACTCTTGTCCCTTATCTGCTTATCCCGGATTTTGGTTTCTTCACAGATAACCTCGGCCTAGCCGAGATTATCTCGGCATCATGACCAGGACACGTGACACCTCGGCTGACACTTCGGTGTCACCTCGGCCACGTGTTGTCATTCAAAAATTATGCCCCCACAACTGCCCCCTAGGTTCTATTACCTCGGCATCCTGAGGTGATGGAACCTATATCATTCGTTCCTTTAATCATGACCCCGGTTTAACTTCAGCTTGTAAATTTTTCTTCACATCATCACACAACACATAAATTTAACGTGCTCTTTCAATCATCATACTCAATGACTCATTCCAGTGATTGGTTTCCGTTTGCCTAATCATCATGCATTGTCTACAACAATCAACACTACCCTCCACCGGTAGCCCAAAGCAATTATTTCTAAGCAGGAAATAAATGCACAAATGGATAATATATCAACATTTCAACTAGATGAGCAATAAAAGATTCGTCTACACTCCTTAATCTCATACATTCCCAATTTCAACATTCTCAATTCAATTCCTCATTTTCTTCAATTAATTATATGCATTAATTAATTAAACCAATTAGGGCAAATTACCATAATTCACAAAACAACCCTAAGGTTCCATTTCCATCAATGTCCCAACATTAATCTCATTTCTCTATGCCTAACATGCATATAGGTTTATATATCTAAACCCCAACTTTTATAAAATTTCACAAGGCCCAAACTTTCTCAAAATTACCCAACAACCCCCAACATATCAAAATGCTAAAATTCAAAGACAAAATTCATAAGATGGAGTAGGTTATCCCTACCTCAAAGTTTGAGCCCCAATGGAGATGAAGACCAAAACCAAAATGCACCAAAATTTGAAATTTTCAGATTAAAATGACGCCCTCGACGATCAACACAACTATTACAAAGGCCAAAGGTGAGGAACTCACCCTAGCTAGATCAAAATCTAGAGAGAAGGCAAGATTTTAGAGAGAGGAGCTCTCAAAATGGATTTTAGAAAAAGTAGGAGAGAGAAAGAAAAGCAAAAAGTGATTCGAAATCACCCAGCGGATAGCTCATATACGTATGACCCGCTCGAGCGGAGAATACGACGCTCGAGCGCCAAGAATAAAACTCTGGACACGCTCGAGCGCAATAAGGCCCGCTCGAGCGCCAAGACACAAGAATAAAGCACTTCCGCTCGAGCGCGAAAACCAGTCCGCTCGAGCGCAGATTTCCACCTCCCAGAACTTACACCCAGAAAGCACTACCTGCTCGAGAGCCAACAAACCCGCTCGAGCTCCAACAAACCCGCTCGAGCGCCACCGCTCGAGCGTAAAGAGACCCGCTCGAGCGCATAAGTCACATCTGCAGAAGTTTTGCAGAAACCCGAAATACTGGAGGTGTGCAATCCCCGCTCGAGCGCCAGAACACCCGCTCGAGCGCTAAACTAGAAACCGAACTCCGCTCGAGCGCAGAATGACCCGCTCGAGCGTAACACCAAAAACCTGGGCAATAAGGATAGGGACCAAGGCTTAACCAACCTGTAACAACCCTATTCAAAACATCCTAAAACTCAATCATGTGGAATTAAAGGACACAACAAGATAGATACCACTACCAACCTCACGGAACCGAGTCCGGAATATAACAGAACAGTAAAGGGATAACCGGGATCGCTATAGGCAGAATAGATTAGGCCCGAACAACCTGTCACGGAAAAATAAGAATCCAGCGGTGGTTCGTCCACCCGGGGGCACTTCGACGATCAAGTCAGTAAAATATCTCTCAAAGATAACCAATAATGCTTAACTCACTAGACAAAGCATAAAAGACATACCTTAGACCCATGGGGGTGCCTCCCTTTTATGGCCAACACAATCCTAGTCCCAATAGAAGCCTAGCTTTAATGGACTTAGGATTACTGCTAATCTTGGACTCCCAGTAGGATTAGGATAAACTCTCTAAGAGTCTTATCTTTATCTAAAGTGAAAGTCCTCTCTCATTCTAGGACTCTTGTCCCTTATCTGCTTATCTTGGATTTCGGTTTCTTCGCAGATAACCTCGGCCTAGCCGAGATTATCTCGGCATCATGACCAGGACATGTGACACCTCGGCTGACACTTCGGTGTCACCTCGGCCACGTGTTTTCATTCAAAAATTATGCCCCACAACTGCCCCCTAGGTTCTATTACCTCGGCATCCTGAGGTGATAGAACCTATATCATTCATTCCTTTAATCATGACCCCAGTTTAACTTCAGCTTGTAAATTTTTCTTAAAATTTCAACAAGTGTTAAACATGACCTCGGTTTAACTTCAACTTATAAATTTTTAAAATTTCAACAAGTGTTAAACATGACCTCGGTTTAACTTCAACTTGTAAATGTTTAAAATTTTAACTAGTGTTAAACATGCCCTCGGTTTAACTTCAACTTGTAAATTTTTAAAATTTCAACAAGTGTTAAACATGACATCGATTTAACTTCAACTTGTAAAATTTTCACAAATTTCAACAAGTGTAAAACGTAACCTCAATTCATCTTCAACTTGTAAAGTAAATTTTTCACAAATTTTAACAAGTATTAAACATAACCTCGGTTTAACTTTAACTTGTAAATTTTTCAAAAATTTCAACAAGTGTTAAACATGACGTCGGTTTAACTTCAACTTGTAAATTTTTCACAAATTTCAGCAAGTGTTAATCATAACCTCGGTTTAACTTCAACTTGTAAATTTTTCACGAATTTCAACAAGTGTTAAACATGACCTCGGTTTAACTTCAACTTGTAAATTTTTCACAAATTTCAACAAGTGTTAAACATGACCTCGGTTTAACTTCAGCTTGTAAATTTTTCAGAAATTTCAGCAAGGGTTAATCATCACCTCCGTTTAACTTCAACTTGTAAATTTTTCACAAATTTCAACAAGCGTTAAACATGACCTTGGTTTAACTTCAACTTGTAAATTTTTCATGAATTTCAACAAGTGTTAAACATGACCTCGGTTTAACTTCAACTTGTAAATTTTTCACAAATTTCAACAAGTGTTAAACAAACCTCGGTTAAACTTCAACTTGTAAATTTTTCACAAATTCAACAAGCGTTAAACTAATTTTAGCTTGTAATTTCTACCTGTCCAGGAACCATTTTCCAACTCTCTATCCCCTAATGTGAACTTAAGTTCCACTTGGGTTCTCATTGTGCATGTATTCTAGAAACATCATCAAGTATCTTATCAGCCACAAGTGTAAAAAATCAAGCTAAAACTTTATTTATTATTTCGGCTAATAACAAAGAACAAAAAAGTCTAATGATAGAAAAATTTCAAATTGCAAGTATTCCAAGGCCTTGGCAACTCTTTACCTTCATTATCTTCAAGCCGATATACCCCATTGCCCAATACCGAGATGATTCTATAGGGTCCCTCCCATTTCGGGCCAAGCTTGCCCTCTCTGGGATCCTTCTTGTTGCCGACGACTTTTCTCAAGATGAGGTCACCGACTTGAAAC